CTAATGGCAGGGACTTGAGTATGATTTCGAGTGCTTTAAACCATGCCAAAATCCTGACTTGAGCATTGAGTAGAGTTCTAGAATACGACCCTCAGATCAGGCCCCGGTCAAGATATTAAAAGTCTCGGGGTAGTGCTGTCGTTCTTATCAGTGTGATTCGGATCGTCTGCATTGGCGCATGTCACACGGCACACCTGAAAAGGTGATCGCGGGAGTGCTCACAATGCCTCGACCACGTAATTTGCAAGACCGTTCACACGAACCAACAGTTATTCTATTACAAATGGTTTTATTGTACGTTCTCACTGAAAATTCAGTCCTGACACGTGAAATGTTTATGCACTACCTGGACACGCCGGCTCCATCGCAGAATTACATTTTAGGACCTACTCGATATTTAGTCGTGTTCAATTTTCAAGACTGCACAGGCTAGCACCCAGACAGCTGTACGATATTTTGAGCAGCAAACACTTTCTGGTCAGCACTCGTAGCACTTCCAAACAGTTCAAGAACTGGCATTAGCTGATTACGTGCCCCGAGTACAATTTTGTAATTATACAAAATTCAAACTGACAAAGCCACATTTACTCGAATCGGATTATTCACATTCTTAACGAACATTGATGCTATAAACACTTGACACGACGTGACGCTTTTCGAAATCGATTCACTTTCTTATTGTTTTGCCGCCAAAGCACTTGCGGCTTCTTTGCACTTGCATGCGCGACCAGTTTTGGTAATTTTGTTTATTTCGGTAAGATTTTAATTTGTTTTTTAATAATGGTCTTATACTTTTGCTAATTTAAATTGGTCTAAAATATTTCTTTAGCCGAGTAGATTAATAAATTCAACGGATACTAACGATTTTAAAATCTGTATATGTATATATTATATATAATCAGAGTTTTATTATAGCCACGGTCAATGGATCTACATTTATGACTTTAGTTCATTGCTGTAAGGACAACTACCGCATGATGTTATCCTTCACCATTGTCGTAATCCCGCCTCCTCACCTCCCCCTCTGTGGCTCCTGTACAGCCACCAGGATTAACAGTGGTAACTGGAACAACCACAACACGTCGACTGAAGGTGAACAAGTGGACGCGGCACTAACCCAGCGGTTTTAACCCAGTAATAGGATAAAAGATGGAACAGCAAAAACCTTTTGAATATTAAGTCACAATCAATGATATAACTTTCAAAAACGACGTGACAAAATGTTTCACCGTGTAGGGGTTCGCGTGAATTATAGAGCTTTACAAAGTAAGAGTTGTACTCATCGCTCAATTCAATGTCAATACAAAATAAACAAAAAACAAAGTAATAAAACGAAAACCAATACGGAACAACTGCCTAACGAAATGTAAAAAAATATAAAAATACAAAAACTGCACTAGACGCTGCTTTTTTTCTACAGGGACAAAGTAGACGTTATTTCAATATTGAATTTTACACTTAAAAAAACTGTTGACCAAACTTGCATTGTAATCGAGAAAACTAGAGTATCGTAATGTATTAAGAACTACATCGTAGATTAATATTGTGCCGTAATGGAAAGGTACTGTCTAACATTTCAACGTGTATTACCTACGTCTACTTGGGTCCACAATTAGCAGAGCATTAATTATTTACACAGTAAAGAAAATTGAGGCATTACCTATGATTAAAATATACACTTACATGTCTACCATTTCATTTCTCTCATACAACCTTGACTACCGATGAGTATTGCCGAATATTGCACTATTTGTGTCTGTCGGTCGTCGCACTTGATGTGACATAAAATTCGCACACTCAAGCACATAAATGTCATAAATGTCAATTTCAATTGTGTTTAACAAAAATAGTAGTACAGCCAGCATCAAAACGATTTTAACGATCGGACTACGAAAAAATATGCACATCCAAAGTGATCAATTTTACAAAAAAAACTTCGGAAGTGCGACCAAATACATGAACAGTGCAACATAATTTCATTAACAAAAAGATAATTTTTGTCCAATATCTGAACGTCAAGACAAAATGGGCATACATTTTGGATACATTTTATTGGTTTGTCAGTTCAGATGATTTTGATCCTAACTGTACATTACGCAACAACGACCGACACGTCGTCGAACTAAACACGTTTGAGTCCTTTAAAACTATGACGCCAAATTATTCTAATAATTTGTCAAAATGATATGCCAATACAAAAGAACAAGCTTAATACAACAAGTAGCGTACCAATACATTCACGTTTACAAAAAGTGCACCTATAAAATTCAACATGACCCACAAATCTCAAGCAAAATCATTAAATAATTTAGTGTTCCGTGTACACTGCCAGCAGTGTCGATTTCGATGCAATAATTCCCATTCTACCTATTACATGAGAAATATATAATAAGTGGTATAGTTGCAATAGACGTTGCCGTACCAAAACCAAAGCAAACGTAACTTTGAGGGCCCCATTTGGCTAACGCTCTGTCAAATACGTGATGCACCGCCATTTGGCAAAAAGTCAGCCAGAGGGCTCGTAATTAAAATTTCATCCGACAATGACCCTTCGTCACTACAACGTCAGTGTTAACATATTATATTAATTTAAAAAATGCCAAATTCCAAGAATACTTAAAAGTAAGAGATGTCAGTCAAATATTGCTTCGAAATATAGAAAGTCTACATTCTCAACTCCTATTAAAAAGTAACGTGAATGTACTGAAAGTTTCTATTGAGATTGTTATATAAATCAATTAACAAGCATAAAAAATAAAAGATACGAATGTCCGAGCTCATAGAGACAAAAATTTTAAGGAAAATAACAATAATAACTTATAAAAAAGCGAATGCAATATGAGAACCATTTCCTATTAGGAAATCACAAAAAAATATTGTAAAAAAATATCTCCGAAAACTAATTCTACTTCAACGTTCACATTTTCCGATTTTGTAACACTGACATCTTTTACGTTTTGCACATATTTAGTCAGTCAAATAAGTGTAACAATAGATTATTGTGTAAGAAAAGGAAGTAATTACGCCACAATTGTGCAAACAATGCCGTACTGTTTCAATAAGAATGCCGCTTTTGTAAGTTTAGTCGATAAATTTGTACAGTAATTCCTTTTAAGTTTTGTTGCTACGAACCCAGACATAAAGTATACCAGTAATAACATATAATTGTAACAGTGATGAACATCTACCCATCACCCAGATATAGACACATGTTTGTTTTTTAAATAATGAACAGTTTAAATAGGGTTTAAATATTTTATGCCGGAGTGTCACACATTGAATGGCGGAATGGTTGATGCTAGTAAAAGGAAAATGGCTGGTCGTGGAATGGCTTTATGCACTCACATATTGTTTTATTGCTTAAAACATACTGAAGATAATTAAGATAATTATTACATAAAATTCATCAACAATAAATATTCAATTATAATGGGCATGACGTAATAAAACATGATAATTTATCTGGTACAATAATTACATTGTAGAAGTAAGAAATACATCACGAATTACAAAAACATAACCTCAATAGTATAAAACGCAAGCTGACGTTCAATAAGTGTAAATAAATATTCCAATGTATGCTGATATGCCAGGTTACTAAAAATGTGTCCGAAAATGTTTCCGAGCTAAAATAATTTTTAGGCCGCTAACAGATTCACTGCATGTTTGTAGTTAATGCGTAAAGTCGTAATCAACTTCATGCAGCCGAGATCACAACTGCATGATATCAACTTCATGCAGTCGAAGTCTCGAATAATACCTTCACGCATGAACTGCATGCAGTCGAAACCGATTTCATGCAGCTGAGATCGACTGCATGCAAATAATGCTTGAAGTCGTTACCAACTTCATGCAGTCGAGGCTGCATGAAGTTGATTACGACTTCACGCATTAACTGCAAACATGCAGTCAATCTGTTAGCAGGCTTAGGCCTAGTACATTACTATAGAAGTTTTGTTAAAAATGCAACTGCACGCGAAAGTGGTGCAAAGAACATAAAGAGGCATTTGTTCATATTAGGAAAATTTTAGCATCAGAAAATTCATTAGTACACTTTAACCCAGAAGCACGAAAAGTTGTCGTAACGGTGGATGGGTCACCTTAAGAACTCCGGCAATTCTTTCACAATTGGAGGAAGATGGTATCGAATAACCAATTGCGTATCATATATCAAGGTAAAATTTAAAAAAGCAACTGCAATCTATTAGGGACAGAGCAGAGCAGTTCATTTTTAGAACCAATCCTGGTCCTCATTTGTCTATATTTCGTCCGCAAAGGTGTACCAGAAGTATCAACAAAAAGACTGCAGAGATGTATTCTGCATACAATTAAGTAATTGAATACGTGAGTAGTTTAAGACCTCGAAAGCCTAAGTTAATGACGGACGTTATTTGTAAAGATAATAATTACTAGTAATATTTAACTGTACACAATATTGGTGGAGTGGTATTTTGGTCTGTTCCTAGACTATTCACAAATAAATATTACAAAAATAACCTCACTTGAAAACATTTTTAGATTTTAATATGTTATTCAAATTAATTTTACTGGAAAAAGTATCGTTAAGTATCTTTTTGGAGATATCGGGTCGAAATCTACAAAATGTTACGTATTCCATTTATTGAGTGATTGCTTTAGTATTTTAACCAAACCGGTTTGTTTACTTTTCTGGTATAACGTATTGGAACAGACTTTAACGTAATACGTAGATACCTTATAAAAAAACGTAGTAGCGGCCGCGTCCGTTGAATAAGGCGAACTTATATTACAGCTTCAATCCACAAAGACGTGCGTTACTTTTTTCGAAATTTCTACCTATCGGTTACCGGTTCTCACCCTAAATAACACCATCTTACTCCAATAATTACATACATCATGTCGAAATTAATGAGATTCCATATGAGGCATAAAGTAACATTAACAAAAATATATATACTTAATATACGTCTGCACAAACTAAATTTAGATTTACTTGTGCAACACTCAATGCACAAAACTACTTCATTATAAACTATATCTAAGAGTAACTTTTAAGTTAATCATTGAGCTTTCATTTTATACAAATAAATAATAAACTACGTGAATTATAGAGAAGGTAATATTAATATACATATTTTTTAAATATACAGACATTATCAATAAAATGTTACAGTTACTATACAGATGCAGGAGATTTTACTCTTGTTCTATGGTAGATAAAATAGTCTATTCCCTATAGCGGATACGCGGTTTATATCACCTCACTTCGGGCGGCTTTTCTGGCGCGGCGGGGGCAGAAGCGGGCGCGAGAGACACGGTCTCGCAGCCGCCCTTCATCACGTAGCCAGATCCTTCCGAGGAGCGTGCGATTTTTAACCTGATCGGCGTCACTTTGGCTGTCCGTAACCTGCGCATAGTGGAAAAGGCTTCCGAGTAGCAGGGGGATTCAATGGCGAGCGGGTCAGGTGCCGTAGGGTCGTACTCGAAGGGGTCGACAGGCGGCTCAGGCGCCGCAGCTGCCGCGCCGCTCGGCCCACTTACCCGTCTCTCGCTGCCCCGGCCAGCCTCCTCCTCTTTCGTGCGCTTAATTTTTATTATCAGTTTTGTAACACTATCACTTTCACTATTAACCACTTGCAGTTTTTCTGCTCTTTTGTCCTTCTTCTTTTTACGCTTTTCACTTTTATTAGGTTTGTGTTTCTTCGGTTTGTCGGGTTTCTCGTGTTTCTCATGCTTATCGTATTTCAAAAGTTTCTCCTCTTTCTCTTCTATCTCTTCATTTTCCATCTTCACCTCCTGCTCCTCTTTACCTTCCTTTTCCTCCTCGACTTCGTTTTGGTTTTCGTGTTCGAAGTCCGCCATCACCTTCTTTCTGTATTTCATGCTCTCGCGGCGCAAGTCCTCTAGACTAGGCGTCGGTGCGGGCACCATCAAGCGCTTCTTGGGTGGGCGAAATTGGCATACGACTGGTTCTTCATTTACTTGCTCAACAATGTTGGAGCCAAGCTTTATTTTTAGTTTAGGAGCCACCGGGGAAGTAGTGGACTTGCTCGGTTTGGAGGAGCCGCGGCCGCGTCTCTTGTGTGCCTGGCTCGAGGTACCGACTAAAGATGACAACTTAGCATCGTCCGAAGGGTCTACGTCGTCGTTCATACTCACTTCTAAATGCCTTAGCTCCCTAGAGAGCCCGCTCGTAGTTTTACGCTTTTTCTTTTCGACCGCAGTGTCAGTGATTTTATAATCTTCTCGGGTTGGAATACTAGTCATGGAGGCCACGGCTTTAGGAATGGTAATGACAGCGCGTGGAAGCGGCGGCGGCACGGCTGGTGGTGGCACAACGCCCACAGATATTGGATTGGTAGGATCGTCCATGTTCATATCTTGAGTCCAATACTGCCGGAGAAGTTCTTTCTTGCGCATGCGCCGCAGGTTAGTGGAACCTGTCATTATGGAAGAGGCTGTCGAAGCACTCGTACTCATCATGCCAGGATTAACGTCATGCGAGTGTGCAGGTGCAGGCGGCTGCGGAACGACCGGCGCAGAACTCGCTGAGTAGTTGGCGTCCAAGAAAGGTCCTTTTATCTTTACCTTGAGTTGGTTTCGCGAGTCCGACAGCGACACCTTAAGATGAGGTGTGAATGTTTCTTTGACAGGTTCTTTAGTCTCTATAACGGGAATGGGTGCAGGTGACAGTTTCGTCAACATAAGGGCTGTTTGAAGCTGTTTTTCCACTTCTTCGTCAAGGGCTGCCAATTGTTGTTCTGCAGAGCCGCTAGCAAACGCTATCAGATTACTGTGGTGATACGCGTCACCTGTTGCCGGAGTGGCGTTCTCGAATGGTTGATTTTGGCTCTGATAAGTGCGCATGTCGACAGGACCCGGCAACACGGGGTGCACTTGGGAAATGCCGCCGCGCTCCGAGCCGGGCCTGCTGACAGGTGACGTATCACGCTCCAGTTCTGGAGTACAAGCTTTCGTTTCTTTTGCCTCTGCAGGTGGAGGCTTTTTACTTTGTGAAGGGCTGACGACGCGTGGTGATTGAGAGGTGTCTTTGTACGAATGTTCAGATTTCCTGTCGTCTCTTACATCCACGGATTTACGTCTATCTCGGAGCGCTTTGAGATCGACGCCATCGTTAGCGAATTCTTCCTTGAAATCATACACTGTGCCAACCAATTTGCTTTGTATGGAATTACCCATGTAATCAACTGGCGGAAAACCATGAATTCCTTGACCTCGGCTCTTGGAGCGTCCACGACCTCTCTGGCCGCGATTGCTTCTATTACTTGAGTGTTTTGAACCCTTGGGTCCATCACTTTGTTTAGGTGAAATACCAGCGGGACTCTTGCCCGGGGATTTTCCAGGTAATTTGCTAGAGCTCCTATTGGGTCTTAGAGGAGGAGACTTTGAATCTTGCGAATTTGAATGTTGTGTCATGTCTTGATTGGCGGAGCCGTTGATAGAGCTGTCGTTGGTGGCTTCGTTGGGATGTTCGGTGGGCGGATCGCCAACGGCCTCTGCAAGTGGCTCATTACTCGGCGGCGGCTCGTTGCTCGGTGGCGGCTCGTTGCTCGGTGGCGGCTCGCTACTGTCATTCGACATCTTTGTAGCCGCTCTGCTTTCATTGAATGAGTCGACGCTTATGCTCGGACTTGACACGACGTGTATAGAGAACTTGTCGCTTCCAGTCACGTCAATATCATCTCTACTCGGAGAGTCCATAGGTTTCGGCGTCGGAGGCGCAATCATTGCAGTGGTGAGAGCAATGTTTTGTGAGGAGGACGTGAACGCAGCGCACAGTGTTGGGAACGTCGGTTTGGCTAGCGGCTGTATGAGCGGCGTCGGGGCGAAAGGCAAAGGCGCGTAAAGACCGGGTCCGGGTGACGGCAGCTGCGGTGCGCCGGGAAACAGCGGTAGCGAGCTAATCGCATTCAAGAACGGGGATTCTGGCGGGTAAGTCGAATATTGGTTTAACGGCAACGCGGGCTCTACGGCACACGAGTATGCTGGTATAGGCGGATAGTCGATATCAGGAATTCTGTCAGGAAGATGTGACTTCAACTCAGTTTTCTGAGAACATACCGAAGTCTCAGAGCTTGTACTCGAGGCGGAGGATCTCCTCGTCGTTATCTTACTTTCGCGCCATTTCTCGTGACCGGTATAAGGAGATGACATTCTAGTCGAGCATTCTAAATGAGCAACCGAGTTGTTGTTATCATAGGTTGTATTGTCTTGAGTCAAATCATTTTCAACACTTGGCACGGAATGGTCAACAACAGATAAAGATTGCGAATCATCGCTTTGCTTCGACAAAGATATTGTATCACCTATCTCTGAGACGGATTGCATATCTGATTGCGTTGTGGCGGGTTCCTTAATCTCTTCGTATGGTCGAGTATCGGTAAAATTGCGTCTAACCGACATCTCAATAGGAGATTCGTTGCGTGACGGTGGAAGATCCGGCCACTTGTCGTTGCTAGACATGGCAAGGGGTCTCTCTGATTTTTCCGCAAGATCACTGTGAGGTAAGTCAAGTGATGCGACAGTGCGCGGTATATGATTGGCAGCAGCTTGGATCTCACGGTGACACAAGTCAACGGCAAATTTCTTATTAGGCGGTGGGCCGTCTTTCTCAGCGCTTTCGGAAATGGATGTAGTATTCTCCTCTTGTGTTTTGTGCTCCTTGTCGTCGTTTGTAATAGGCGGTTCTTCTTGAGACGCATTCTCTGTAGCTTTCTTTGTGCTCAGCTGCATTCTGAGACGGCCGACTAAATTAAGCGTTTCCTGCACGCCTTGCTCCTTAGAATCTTCTTTGAAAAAGAATTCAGGGTATGAAGTGAACGGCTTCATAATATCGTCGTGGTTGAATCCGTCGTCGACAGCCACCATGTCCAAGTCGAAAATTTCGTTATCTTTAGGTGAGAACATAGATCTATGTGGGAACGGATTAACAGCAGATGGTATTTTAGCACTTTTGGATATCTCCACTCCCTGTACGTGAGTACTCACGTCTTGTGTAATATATTTCTTTTCAGAGTCTAAAACAGAACGCTTTCTAATATTTCTGACAACAGGGTTTTCTATATCAATTGTTTCGATGGACCGAGCGTCCATCGGCGTCTTCGGAGACTTTATCATAGTATTCTCATTTAGGGTAGCTTGAATTTTTGCAATCATCCTCAAGCTGCTCTTGTCAGTGGAGTCTGAGTCGAATGCTTTGTCTTCAGTCATGTACTTCTCGTGTCCCCCAGGTTTCTCCACTGGCGGAGGATGGACGATCGGACTTGGTGCTTTAGGTAGCCAGTGTTTGTCACTTCCAGGAAAGTCTTCATTAATGCGAATAGGACTTGCCGCATCAATGAAAGCCATAGACGGCTTTTCTGTTGCGATCGGCTTCTTTACCGGGGACACGCTAGGTCTGTCCACCTTAAGTGTGGTATCTTGCTTACTCAGCTTTCTCTGTTTAGCGAGTGATTCACGTGATTCATCTCGAGGAGATTTTTCCTTTAGTGCTTCTTTTACACTCATGCGCCTGGTAGTCACGTTCTTATGTTTCGCTTCGGCACTCTTTCGTGGACTGGTCCTTGTAACAGAACTTTCAAATTCAGATGTTTTAGATTTATCTTTATCTTCGACGACGGTGCTGCGCAGCTTGGTCTTGGTAGTTTTTGCCTTGTCGTTCTTAGTGGTATCAGTACTGACTGATTTCTCTTTCCCATCTTTTTCGATCCTTACCTCCTCGTCCGTTTTCCGCTCCGCAGTTTGAAGTTCACTGGACTTGCTGCTCTCTTTGGGAGTCTTATTTGGTCCAGAGGCGAGACCGGTGTCGTCTTTAGATGGTTTTCTCTGTCGGGCATCATGCTTATTAGAGAGATTTCCGCCTGATGTAGCGCTTCTGGTCCGAGTACGCGTGGCAGCACGCGTGTCGCTGGGTCGGCCCTGTTCCTCTCCTTCAGCAGGCGGTGTTGGTACCCTTGACTCGGACCCCCGTTCGGAAGTTTTAAGCTTCTTGTCAGGGGTCTTGAGCGGGGACGTATCTGTGGACACACTCTTGCCCTTTCTTCGTCTCCGTGGTCTCTTAGGATAGGGGCTGGTAGAGCCCGACTGACGCGACCCTTTAGAGCTCTCAGAATCACTCGAGGCACTTGTTGAAGACAGTGGCCTTGACACCTTGTCGAGAAAGGGCAAGTCCACGGTCGGTCTAGGTCTCTCAGGTCTGTCAGTCGTTTGAGGCGGTGAGAACAAAGAGGGTTGTCTGGAAAGGGGCTTAATTTCCCGCGCTTTGGCTGTAGGTTTAATTTCGGGTTTCTCAGAAACTTCCTCTTCTGAGCTTGACGTTGAGGAATAGCTGCTACTGCTTGAGTTCGACGATGAGCTCGAGCTTTCTTTATCAGAGTTCTTATTGGATTTGTTATCTTCTTTCTTGGGTGATGATTTAGATGGTTCACTTTTGTCGTTGTCCTTTTTCTTTTCCCCATCTGATGCTTCAACCACGGGTGCTTTACTGCCAAGACCACTTTTAATATGTGCAGCCGCTTTCTTGGCTGCTTGCCTTTGCGGAACGTAGGCAATCGGTTCTTTCTCTACATCTTTAGATGATTTCTTACGGCCTACTTTAGCCGGTGCAGCTTCTTTGCCTTTAGTTTTTATCAACTTAGGTTTGGGTTTCGCGTCGTCACCACTGACTTGTTTCTCAACAACTAATTCGTCTTTTTTGGGAACGGTAGTTGAGCGCATATTTTCTGAAGCTTTCTTTGCTGCCTGTCGTTGCGGTACTATCAAATCAGTAGGGTTATCTTTTTGTTTTGTAAATTTGATGTTTTCTTTGTTCTTAGCTTCATCGTCAGATTCGTTATTACTTTTAATTGGTGTCTTCTTTTCTTTATTCGATGGCTTTCGGCCTCGTTTCTTAGGAGCCGGTTTTTCTTGCTCTTCTTTGTTAGGTGTCTTCTTTTCTGGTTGAGTTGGAATAAACTCCTTCATAGCCGCCTTCGTACGAGGCAGAGGTTGCTGAGCGTCATTGTCATTGGGTGACTTTTCCGGTTTAGATTTATCTGCTTTGACTTTGTCTGTCTTCTTGTCCGTAGACTTTGCAATTGTTACAGGCTTTGCAGAGACGTCATCACTGCTATCCGAATAAATATCAACAGGGAATTTACTATTTCTCGACGTCTTGACGGGGATAAGATCATCGCTATCAGTACCCGACTGACCAGTCTTACCTGCCGCCATCTCCTTCTCCATCTGTTGCAATGTCTTGCTCCGAGATCTGTCTTGCATCATTCTAGATTGTATCGATTCATCTTCACTACTGCTTTCAACTAGGGCTTTAGACTGCGGTATTTTCTTTTTCTTTCTCTCAATCTTCTTGGGAGACCTTTTGCCTTTCGCCTTTGGTGACACCTTTTTCTTTGGCGAGCTTCCAGACTTCTTGCCATCCTCGTCAGTGGTAGAACCGATGGCTCTTCCACGATACCGTGTGGAACGACTGATCTCTGGAGCACTCTCCTCACTCGACAACCCACTGTACATGCCTCCGCTACGACGCGATCCATTTACGTAATGTTTCTTGTAAGGATTTGAAGATTTTTCTCCCTTCACAAGGCCATTTCGATCTTTCTTCTTTTCATCGCCCGAATCTGGCGGGGCAATACGAGCCAATAAATCGTCGAAATCATTTTTATGATCAGGAGCATTTGGATGAGAATATAGTCTATCATAAATTGACGGACCGTGGTTAGCTTCAATGATAGCCGCCAAGTCAGGCCCTGTGATAGAGGGGTCTTCTGTTAGTACCGCCACTTGTTTGTGAAACGTTTGTTCACGCATGCGAAAGAATGACCGAGAGAGCTTCTCTCTTCTGCTCACCATATAGCACAAATTCCTTACTCTCTCCAGATCCTGCCGCAGTTGTACAAACATTCTCATTTTATCGAGATCCGCTTGTTCTTGTCTGTGAATAAGTAGTTCATTGTCGTCTGATTTGGGCGGCAATAGCGGTCGGTTATGTCCCGCTCGCCGCTTCAGCTTCCAGTAATTGTAAATGTAGTTTATAGCTTCTTGATCGACATCAAGAACATGAGCGCTGATATCCTTCACCGTGACATGACGGTCGAACTCTGCCTCGACTTCATGCAGACGAGCTGCGCGAGCCTGCGTTTTTTCCTCGGAAGTCATGTCTTTCCGTCGCTTTCTTTTGACCTCCTCCTCCTCGGAACCAGAGCCAGGACATTTTTCTTTTTTTGGATTGACACTATGCTTTTGACAATAGGATCGTAGTTTGACGCCGTCGTCGGCGTTTTCGTCTTCGATTATCGCACGCATTTCCAGTCCATGTTTAAATGCACAAGTAACATGATAAGCAGTCTTGCAAGTTTTAACGGAGCACTGGATACAAGCTCCTTTACGCTCGCGGCATAAGACGCAAACTAGAGACCAACGCGAGGCTGGTATGGAGGAAATTTTAGTGATAGGTTCCATTTTTTCCGCACAACCGATGGACACTTCTGGTATCCATAGCACACATGAGACGTGGGCCCACTTGTGGCCAGAGGGCGTGCACTTCATAGCGCCGCCCAGATTGGGGCAGAGCACGCAGGTGGGCCGGACGCCGTTGCCACACGGCCTGCACAGCCATTGTCCTGGAACGGCAACGGCCGAAAATTATAGAATGATAGAAATTAATAGCGAAATATTTTCACCGGATTCCCACTCTGCCCTCCTTATCATAATTGACGTAATCGACCATTTTTAGCTAACTTGGGTTATTAACATATCTGTTCTGGGATCAGCGAAATAAGATCTACAACCCCCATAATCGGCTTTTTATATCTTATTTAGTTTTATTGTTAAGAAAATCCGCAAAATAACATCTGGAAAGTTACCGAAATGCAAATGCGTTAGTTATAACAAGGAAGGCAGCACCGCACTAAACTAGTTAAAGTGAACCTTAGAAATAATATAACCAATCGAAAAAAAAACAACAAAGGATAGAGATAATAATACTGTTGCTTCACTGTGTGTAACAAGTAGTGGATTTGCTTACCGTCTGGGATGACAGTGATGCCGTAGCAGGCCTGGTGCACGCAGATATTACATGAGTCGCAGAAGACCATCTCGTTGCCATCTTCGGACTCGGGCGAACGGCACACGTCGCAGATGACGTTCTCGTCGTACTCGATCCCGAGTCCCTCTTCGGACTTCAGGATCGCCTGGATTTTGTCCCATGTTCGCTTCTGCAACCGACACACGTTTATTAACGTAAGCGTCTAGACGACAGAAGAAATTGTATGGAAACACATTCGCAACAAGGACATTAAATTGTACTTTTATTGATTAACAATAAGTTGCCTGTATATTATTGTACAGTTTAAATAAGAACGAAGTAAAACTAATTAGAAAAATTGTTATTATACTCCGTAATTTTACATGATTAGAACGGCACATATCAAACTTCATAATCCAGTGAAATCGACTTATTTTAAACAGTGTTATTATATCTGGTAATAATTGTAATCAACTCAATAACTCATTAATAGGATCCACACCGCGATTAATGTCCAATAGGCATGACACCACCACTTATTATTATTTTGAGGTTAGTTTGAACGTAGTCTAGCATTACTATTTGGTTACAATTCACCAAAAATACACATTACACACTAGAAAATAACACCTCGTAGCTCAAAACTACACCGAGTAATATACAAAAAATCAAAACATTCAAGTAACAAAGAAGAGTTGATATACTGTTTTCCGACATGTCCCACAAACACAAACTTACTTACGGTCGTATTCTAGAACTCTACTCAATGCTCAAGTCAGGATTTGAGCATGATTCAAATCACTAGCAATCATACTCAAGTCCTTGCCATTAGGGTCGTATTTCCAGTGCGTGAAATCATACTCAAGTCTGCTCAAATACTGACTTGAGCATTGAGTACAGTTCTGGAATACGACCCTTAGGTTCGTATTCTAGAACTCTACTCAATGCTCAATTCATGATTTGAGTATGGTTTAAAGCACTCGAAACCATACTCAAGTCCCTGTCATTTGGGTCGTATTTCCAGGGCTTGTGTTGCCAGTGCAATCCTGACTTGAGCATTAGAGCAATAGAGTTCTAGAATACGACCCTTAGACATGTATCACAAACTTTTTTCCGTCTGACGAAACTTTATTGTGTAGAGTTATGAGAATAAACAATAATAATATGTTATTATTCTCATATTTAACTCGAAAAGTAATTTATAAATAATTTGTTAATTTCAATGATGGTATTTTATTGAGTGATTACGTAAATTATTTATTGTTTATGCATATTTTCGATTATGATATTCTAGTGTTGCCATTATTGTCATTAAATCTATTTCTAATTACTTTGTAGTCTGTAGTGTGTTCAAATTACATTCTCTCGTCTGGCCTCTGAAACTGTGTTAACGTGTGGATCCTAATAAAGCTTGCATTAATTAATTGCACCGACTTTCATTATCAAGATAAAACAGTAAGAATTTAAGCGACAAATAATAATAACGCAGTTCAAAAGGTGTTTCATCATCAATGTTGGTACAAAAGTGAGAAGCGATGCTTCTGTGTGAAATAGGGGCAGGTTGCAAGCGAATTCGCAAATTCGCCATTTTGACTAATAAAGATTTGACATTTCTAATGTCACTGGCCCAACAAATTTTTCCATCCTCTAAGAAGTAACTTCGAGATGGATTCATTGGTTGTCAATGTTTACACGCCTACGTCAGAGAGTAATTTTATTTCGAATTTTTATTGAATTGATATTCAATTATTTTTTGTGAGATTACTCCACTAGTATGTTATAATTATTAATACAAAGATTGAACACTCAGAAAAAATTCCTTTGATCCGGCCGGATTCGGGCCGACGTCTTCTAGCTTACCGTGCCAGACGCTATGCCAACTAACCCACGGAACGAACCAGCGGACCTCACGAATTTTTCTATGTGCTTGCGTCGTGTCTTTGTATTTGGTTTTTAACGACTTTTTTTAGCTATAGCGTCATTTAATAAATATTCTTTAACCATATGCTTTAACCGTATAACCGTTACGGAAAAACTTGGTTAAGTTTATGTTATATTGGAATGTTTTGTTTTTTTTAGTGCTTTAAATGTAATAAATAAATAAAAAAAAAATATCTAAAACCCCCCTCTTAGATAAGAACTGTGACTTACGTAGCACGCATTAATTATGTAACTGTGCTTGCGTCGTGTCTTTGTATTTGGTTTTTCAACGACTTTTTAGTCGTACCGCCATCTATGAGAAATCTATGAAAGATTTATCACCCAGTTAGTACCTTTACAGCTACCAGTTCTGGCGAGAGATGTCGCTATTCACTGTATTTAACATTTTTATTGAATTGATATTCAATTTAATTATTCTTTGAGAAATTACTCCACTAGTTTGTTATACAAAGATCGAACATTCAGAAAAAGTAATTTTATTATTATTGTTCAGCAGCGTCTGCGTTTTTTTAAAGTGATAACGGAAAAAACCGGCAATTTAAGAAAAAATAAAATTTAGGGAGTTTGGAATTGATAAAACAATAAAGTTGATGATCTATGCGAATTGCTGAGTAAATATTGGAAGAATCCCCATATACAGTTACCAAAGATGGCTGAGATCCAACTTCAACCATTACACGGAGAAAATTTGAACTGTTTCGAACAACAATTAGAATGTATCATCGCATTAAATGAAGTGCGGGAAGCAATATAGTGCCCTTTCTAATAACCAAAATAACTCCTGAAGTGCTAAAAGTTCTTATTTGTTTATGTACCCCTATAAAATTTACCTACAATGTTTTGTGCAATAAACTAAGAGAAAAGTATATATACAAGGCAATCAGCGGCATTGGATCACGCCTTTTTTCGCAACAGAAATCAACTCCCAGTAAAAACCATAAAAGAAAATGTTCCACAATTCACTTCAAAAATGAGGAGGAAATGCAACATGATCTAAAAGATCAAATTAAAGCAAAATTGTTAGACGTGTCCATTTTTGTCGGAGATGTTTTTCTGTAATCAAGAAAGGAAAACAGGTCGGAGGAAGCATGTGTGAGCGGTGAAGCCTACAGTATTATTTGGACACACTACATAGTCCTATTATTATATAGTATTACATCAGCATACATTATGTAAATGTATTTAGTCCTCAGAATGGCTGTGAACAACGAACATAGTAATTACATTATAATGAAATAAATGTGCTTTTAGCACAATAATCCTCTACTCAATATCCAATAAATGGGGTATATAAAACATTTCGTTGTTTGTAACACAAACCGTGAATCGTGAATCGTGAGTTTTCTCGCGGTTCGCAACGTTCGGTGGCTCGTACAACCCTCATAAGTGTTTACGTATTGACGTACAAAAGCAACCTACACCTAGTACCTAACCTCATCGACGCTGGGAACTGTGAGTGTATTGGCTGGCACATATTAAATCGGTACTAGCTATCGTGTACACTAGCACCGAGATTACTAGCAATCAATTCTCAACCTGTTGGACCAGACGTTGGAGTAAAGGGGAGATTGGAGGTCCACTCGGTGTCCCACCCCACACACAAGCGCGCGGTGCTGTAAGTTTTATAAGTGGCATGTAGAAAGCATTACCTACAATATAGTCGTCACATTGCGGAGTGTTTTTTACATTATTTACTCAATCCAACGACTTATTATCCGCTAATACATATCAATCACGTATACATATCAAAGTACTTTTCTTGCGTCCGCACTCAAAATTTACCTTTAGTATATCTTGAAACTATAAAGTGGCGACAAAAGGAAAGGTTCCAGATTACGCTACTTCGAGCAAATCAAAGAAAAAGTGGATGCTAATTCCCTGCCGGAGAACAAAAAAGTACATCAAAGGTAACTGAGTATTTCTGAGAATTAGTATGAGTCATCGAAGGTTCTTTTGACTCACAATGTAAGCGTGGCTGTAAAGCCAACCCAATTACCCAACAAAACCCGTAACATATGATATCTTATGCAAGAAACTGTGCAAGTATCAAGTAATTTATTTGTATTCATAATCAACATTAAAGTGTTAAATGGTATTAAAATGCTATTTGATAAGACAATTGAATTGAAATAACTACACAAAGACATCTAAATGGCTTTACTATGACTTTAAAAATAAAAAAGTTAACCACGGAAATGTCTGATGATATCTAACAAGGTAGAATTTTTCCTTTTGAAACTAAAATTAGATGAAATTGCGCATAGAAGGAAGCCAACATTAGTCGTATTAGTAGAGAGAAATATGAAGTGCATTGCGCAGACTCAGATTCAGGCACAGACTTGGGATGGGGAAAGATATGGGGAGAGAATTTCAACCTATTCATTTTCTGGACTTCTTCGCGCATCAATTAAGGGAGTGCAAGATGATTGCATAACTTTTATATCGCATTGCTTAACAAAAGCAAATAAAGAAATATATAAATAAGGGTAACTTTCAGGTTTGTTTTCCACACCTAATTTCGATGGCAATTTTTGTTATTTGAGTATCCCGAAATATTAAAAAGTATTTCAAGATACTACATTCGAATATTAAATAGTATTTCATGATGATATTGAAGAATATTTTAAAACCATAAATACCCTAAACGGTGAACTTCTTTCGATTCCAAAAGTATTGCCATGTAATATTATTTTTCTAATATGTCGGAACATCAATTAATTGAAAATGAACATATTTTTTGAGATTTAAATCGCGTGTATTATACAATCTGACGTTTTGAGCTCTATACAGGCTCCATGATCACGACTGACTTTATTTTTTACATGATGCATAACTAACCGGATATCTTGTGTGCACGTGTTTTATGTATCGAGCGTATTGATTTCCTTCAACCGCCACCTGTCCAATTTTGCACATGTCTACTGTCCCCAACCAGATTTGATTGTGGTGTGGGAAAGAACAATTGTGCATGTGTAAACATGTATAACTGTAGATGATATCGTTTAAGGCTAAATTGTTTTTATTTTAATGTAGATAAATAACGTTCATTATTATTATTATTATTGTGAACATGATCCGGATATAAATTCCCTGTAAGTGAATGTACATTAAAATTTAATATTTTTTATGTGAAATTGCTCCACTAGATGTTATAATTATTATACAAAGATCAGACACTCAGAAAAAATTCGAGACGAGACGTCTTCTAGTGTACCGTGGCAGACGCTATACCAACTAAGCCACGGAACG